ATTTGATTTTGGACCGTGTTTTCAAGAGGGTCAAATGTAGGATGCAATATTAAACTTTGATTGATCTCAATACGCTGAATCTAATAATGTATTTAGATTTTGGATTTTGGGCCCATTTTTCAAATATGTCCCATCAGGGTTCAAAGGGTCCAAAATTAAACTTTGTTTGATTTCAACAAAATTTGAATGGTAGGGGTTTTTGCTATGCTGAATTGCATATATTTAATCAAAGTCATTTGTTTGGTTTTTTTTTTACATTAAGAGTTACCTCCATTACAACGTTTCAGCTTTATCTTTGGGGTGATATACAAATGAGAAGCTATCATTTTAGTTTTAAATGTAACTAAGAATTTTGATAATTCAGATATATTAAGTTTAGTGATTGTTGGTCATGCATTGTTCTATTTTAAGATTGTTAACATGTATTTAAATGATATCCTATGGTTGAAAATTCCATTCTCATTCAAATATATCATAAAATTGAGAATGGAAATGGGGAATGTGTCAAAGAGAAAACAACTCGACCATAGAGCAGACAACAGCCGATGGCCACCAATGGGTCTTCAATGCAGCGAGAAACTCCCGCACCCGAAGGCGTCCTTCAGCTGGCCCCTAAACAATTATGTATACTAGTTCAGTGATAATGGACGTCATACTAAACTCCAAATTATACACAGGAAACTAAAATTAAAAATGATACAAGACTAACAAAGGTCAGAGGCTCCTGACTTGGGACAGGCGCAAAAATGCGGCGGGGTTAAACATGTTTTTTGAGATCTCAACCCTCCCCCTATACCTCTAGCCAATGTAGAAAAACAAACGCACAACAGTTCGTACAGTAAAACTCAGTATAAGAGAAGTCCGAGTCCGATGTCAGAATAGGAAACAAAAGAAAATAAACAAAATGACAATAATACATAAATAACAACAGACTACTAGCAGTTACTGGCATGCCAGCTCCAGACCTCAATTAAACTGATTAAAAGATTATGTTTTCATCATATGAATATCAGGCACAATCCCTCCTGTTAGGGGTTTAGTATTATACCGTCATAAAATATATGAGAAGAACATAACCCGTGTCATGCCAACAACTGGTTTTAGAATAAATGTGTTTAATTCCGATGCAAAGACCCTATAAGTGAATTAGTATTAAAGCCAAAATATGCAATCTTTAATGACCTGACAACAGTATCGTATCTATAGCCCTTCTTAATAAGTCTGTTTAAAGGTTTTGTTAGCTTTTGAGGTGAATACTGACATTTTTGTGCTTTGTAAAGAATATTACCATAAAAGATTGGATGTGAAATACCCGAACGTATAAGATATCTGCATATTGTGTTATATTTACGGATGATGTCCTTATACCGATTAACAAATTTAGTAAATGTTTTGACTAGTTTATGATATCGAAAACCCTGGTTTAATAATTTTTCAGTAATACATAAGTTTCTCTCGCTAAAATCTAATACGTTGTTACATACACGAGCGAATCGTACAAGTTGAGATATATAAACACCATAAGATTTAAAAATGGATAATTAACGATAGGAAATGAAAAATCATCTCTTTCAAATATATCAATCCACTTCAATAATAATTCAAACATTTCCCAAATATACTTAAAAACAATTTCCTCCATATTGAAATTTCTCTCCAAAGGGTATTAACTCAAATCACAATTGAATGATATTCCACTCTAAAACACTTAATATCACCTTTTGATATCACTTTTAAGAACAATTCTAACCACAACATTCACAAATATAATCAAAATAACATCCCAACCACTTAGAATTACAATCCCATAACCCACAATTACCAATTCATGCCCAATTTCATGCCACAATTTTATCCAATATTATTATCCTATTTTGCAACAAAAAAAATTAAAAAAAAATCTTCAGTTCATTATAATATAATTCTACTATCCTTTTAACTTAGATATGATTTTATTCTGCATTTCATTTCCACTATATTATTCATTCTTAAAATTGCTTAAATATCAATATTAGTTTCTAAATGATAACAGTTAAACAATGTCAAGAAAAAATGAATTTCCTCCCTTTCCCCATCACCCAAAGTCACAATATGTTTAAAAACTTCAATCATTAACTGATGACAAGTAAACCTTATCTAACATACACATCCATCTGTACCCCACTTGTAGCAATATTCATACAACAAACAAATTATTAATTAATTTAATAAAAGGTTTCCTACCGATTACAGCTTAAACTTAATTCCTTTATGGATCATTTTAAAAACTTAGCTAATATTATCCATTTGTAAATGAATAAATTAAATAATTGGTGTACTTGGATATGCTGAATCTAATCGTGTATTTAGATTTGGGATATTGAACCATAATAGGTAAAAGTCCAATTTCAAATTTTTCAATTCTTTGACCACATTTATTCTGGGTAAGAAACCCATGCTGTGTCAAATATTTAATCACAATCCAAATTCAGAGCTGTATCAAGCTTGAATGTATTGTCCATACTTGCCCCAACTGTTTAGGGTTCGACATCAGCGGTCGTATCAAGCTGCGCCCCGCGTAGCATTTTATTTAAGTTTGGGATAGAATGTAGAACTTAAAATCGTCCAGAATGAATAAATTATGTTTAGTTCCAATAATATTTAAATTCAGAGTGTGATTAACTTAATTATTTTTATTGATTGATTGATGGTTGATTAACGTCAAGTGACAAATATTACATGAATGATGTTTGAAACCACGGGAAATGCAACGTGCAGAAAACGTGGCACTCTTCCTATACGAGGCATCAGATTTAACGTCCTAATTCAGGTTTGGACGTGGTTGTGTGTTTATACACCCATACAGCTAAAACGGACGCCCCTCTCGAGCATTGATGTGACTGTCGGGTAGTATAAGTCAAGGGTTAACCATAGCTCTTATACCCCATCACACTAGGACCCCCGCTAAGACCTAAGAAATTATGAAAAATTTTGGAAATCGTAGTAAGATCATGGTTGTCGTGGAAAGGACGTGCCAAAGTCTTCATCATCGTGGAGGTCCACGACCAGCTTTGAACATGCTCAAAACATTCATAGTGCAGTCGTGGCCAAAACTAGTCAAAGTAGAAGCGTAGGAAGGTCGTAGTAAGGACGTAGTAAGATCGGGATGGGCGTAGAAGCATCGTATTGGAAATCATGGTGCCATCGGGAAGCCAATGGAAAAGATTTCGCTGCGACCTTACTACGATTTCACTACGACTATCTCGATTTCACTACGTCTTTATTACGCTTCCACTACGATATTGATACGATTATACTATGAGGAAGACAATAGTACGCTGCTATTAAGCACTTGCCGTCCTTATTACGACCTTACTACGATGCTACTACGTCCTAGCCACGATAACTGCACGATTTCATTGCAAAACCTACTTCTGCAATCTTTCATTCAGCTGCACTGTATCGATTTGGCTGATCAGGCTACACTTTTAGTTATAGAAGAAGGAGAAGACATAATAGACAGCTTAGGTCCTGTTGGGTGCGCCCTTGGCTTTCTGTTGAAAGAAGACTCCAGTTTGGGCATTACGACCGACTTGGAGGATGGAGGATCAACAGTCATTCTTTGATTTTTAAGGGATGCCTCCAGAAATGTTTGATGAACTTTTGAACAGAGTAAGTCCTCAAATTCAAAAGATAGACACCCGATTTAGAAAGGCACTAGATCCCGGTCTGAAAGCCACTAGATCCTGGTCTGAAAGTTGCTACAGGTATAACCTTAAGGCACTTAACTTCTTGCGATAGGTATCCAACCCTTCAGTACGATTTCAGAGTCGCGCGCAATACTGTAAGTACTTTTATTCCTGAGGTATGCCAGGCAATTGTACAGGAGGATAAAGATCAAGTCATATTCTGTCCAGCAGAACCAAAAGATTTTCAAAGAAGATGGAAAGTGCCACACGCTTGTGGCGCACTCGATTGAAAGCTATAAATACGAATTAGACAACTATCAATAAAGACAAAGGACGTAGATATTAATATTCTATACAAAGCACAAAAATGTCGACATTCACATCAAAAGCTAACCAAACCTTTAGACTTATTCAGAAGGGATATAGTTACGATACTGTTGTCAGGTTATTAAAGATGACATATTTTGGTATTAATATTGATTCACTCTCTTAGGGTCTTTGCATCTGAAATAAACATATTTATTCTAAAACCAGTTGTTGGCATGATACGGGTTATGTTCTTCTCATATATTTTATGATGGTATGATGGTATGATACTAAACCCCTAACGGGAGGGATTGTGCTTGATTTTCATATGATGAAGACATAACCTTTTAATCAGTTTAATGGAGGTCTGGAGCTGGCATGTCAGTAACTGCTAGTAGTCCTTTGTTAATTTATGTATCATTGTCATTTTTCTTAGTTTCTTTTGTTACCTATTCTGATATCGGACTCGGACTTCTTTTAAACTGAGTTTACTGTGCGTATTGCTGTGTGTTTGTTTATTCTACATTGGCTAGAGGTAAAGGGGGAGGGTAGAGATCTCAATTTTAGTTCATTTTTATATGTTTTGGAGTTTAGTGTGACGTCCATTTTCATTGAACTATTACACATTTTTGTTTAGTGGCCAGTTGAAGCCTGCCACCGGGTGCGGGATTTTCTCGCTGTGTTGAAGACTCATTGGTGGCCTTCGGCTGTTTTCTGCTCTTTGGTCGGGTTGTTGTCTCTTTGACACATTCCCCATTTCCATTCTCAATTTTATTTTTATTTGTGTCGTTGGGATGCTTTCTAATTGACGTATATCTCTAATTGACTTTGATCCATACCACTTATAGAACACAAACATCAACAAATGATATATTTGTGAATGACACGTAAGTCGAGCAGTTTAATAAATGCCTTTATTTTTCACAAATGTAACCTCCAAGATGGCTTCCACTATCACACATGATATTATAGTATGTTATCTGTCCGGAGCATAGAAGTTGATTAACACCATATAGAAAACAAAAATCAACAAAATGATATATTTGTATAAAGAATAACAGTTTAGGAAATGGCTTTAATTTTCACAAATGTAACCTCCAATATTGGTACCACTATCACACATGACATTATAGAAGTGATATATGTTCAGAGCATAGAAGTACATACAGTCTTGTGGAGATGCAATGGATCCATTGGGTTCTCCGTCACCGAAGGCGTAGTACGTCATTTTTGTCATCAGTTCATTCTTAATCCACCTCCAATCACCACCAGTAACGTACCGGTTGATATTTCTTCCACCCACGTAGTAATGTAGACCTGTTTGAAATCGACAAAGTTTGATAAATGAACTAATCTCAATATCCGATTGGATAATATGGAAAGGCAACAAGTTTTATTTTTCAGACGTCAGTGCATAGTAATTTTACTAGTACATTGCATATTGAAAGAATAGTGGTATAAATACTAGAACATATGCTGTTTGGTGTTGTCCTTGTTTGTAAGTCTGTTTTTCCGAGGAGTCAATTGTTGCTCGGAAATGAGGTCATTTATATAGTTGGGCATTTTTTGCAATTCCTGTTACTAGTATCCCTTTCCATGAATGATTGATACTGTTTAATTAACCGTTATATTTAATCATAAACAAACAAAATCCATTCACTCGTCTATGTTTAATAGGTTCACAGTTTATTTGAGGTTTTTAGCAATTTAATTTCATCTTTGACAATTTTGGTAATTTGATAACATAGAGGCACCTTTGGTTTATACAACTTTCAGAGCGTTTGGCTTCAAGCGTACCTGGTGGAGGAAATCAATCTTATTCTTTAATTTAGTATATACAACCTAAGTTTCCAAATTTGTGGTTATTATTTATATTCTTATTTGGCAATGCATCAATGTTGTGTGTGTGTGACTTGTTTATCCTATACCTGAATTCTTTTGCTGTAGTTCCATTTTCATGATCATGGCTTCCTCAAGGGTCTCAAAATTAGCAAGATAAGCACCTCTCTTCGCACAGAGTGCCTATGTAAACATAAATGTACAAAAAATGTTGTTTCATAACAATAGAAAAAGATTTAATTTTATCAATTGTTATCATGATATTTTTTTTATCATTTTTTTTTTATCATTGGAGACAAAACAATAAATTGTAAGACGTTTTAAGTATAACCACAGAGGAGGTTCCTGACTTCGGACATGTAAATACAAAAGTTGCGGGACGTCGGACATGTATATACAAACGTTGCGTGACGTCGGACAGTCGGACATGTATATGCAAAAGTCGCGTGACGTTGGACATGTATATACAAAATTCTAATAAAGTTATTTTGTATCAATGGTTCTGATTGGATGACAGTAAGCGTAAAATTCTCTATCTCATTGTCTGTAACTAAGGAAGCCGACATTTTGAATTGCGGACTGTATTGACATGTAATTTCTACAATAATAAGCAAAAAACTCACATGTTGAACCTAGAAATCTTCTTTTTATCAAATTTTATAACATTCTGAAGCGGTCAAGAAGCCAGAAAACACCCGGTGTTTACGTTTGACGCCGGAAGCATACCTTTGACGTCACCTAGTTTAGGAGCCAAAAAAGATTACATCTTTTCGCGGGATTTTCTTTAATGAAAATTTTACACTGAAATAATGATTGAAATTGAATTATGTACTTGTTTTGCATTAGAATAGAGATAACTAAATTTGCGACAGTAAAACTACCGACGGACGTCCGCAAAGCTTCAAATACAATACAGTTATCTCTTTTAAAAGTTGCGTGACGTCGGACATGTAAATACAAATGTTGCGTGACGTCGAACATGTAAACACAAATGTTGCGTGACATCGGACATGTATATACTAAAGTTGCGTGACTTCGGACATGTATATACAAATGTTGCGTGACGTCGGACATGTATATACAAAAGTTGTGAGGTTAAACTGCAGCTGTTACAGCTAGGTTATTCCTATTCGGGTCTATTTTCATTGGTAGCGTCTTTATAACTTAATGATTTGTAAGCCATGTATTTTTATTTTATCTATAACGAACCATCTCAGAGGTTTTCAGGAACACAAGATGCTAAGAAAACAGTCCTTTTAAATCTACATGATAAATGTACATAAACTTAGAAACACGATGTTCATGCTTCGATATCTTTATGAAAATAAGAAGATGTGCCATGAATGCAGAAGACAAACTTTCTACCATAGACAAAATAATGTAGCAGTTAGCAACTATAGGTCTTCGTAGGGCCATCAACAATAAGCGGTAGAGACTGTCATACACGTGAGAGGTTTTGCTATCTATAAAACCAGGTTTAATCCACCATTTTCTACATAAGAAAATGCTTGTACCAAGTCAGGAATATGACAATTGTTATCCATTCGTTTGATAATTTTGCCATTTGCTTAGGGACTTTTCGTTTAGAATTTTCCTCGGAGTCCGGCATTTTTGTTATTTTACTTTTTGCCTATTTTTTCACATTAATACACAACTTTCTAGTCATGAGCAGATTTAAATTGCATTAACGTGTGTCTCATATAACATTTCCCTTGATGTATGTGTTATATAACCTTTCGCTTTACGTTTGTGTCATATGACATATTAACCTTTCCATTGATGTATGTCCGATATTGCATTTCCCTTGGCGTATGTCCGATATAATATCTCCCTTTACGTACATGTATGTCCTATATAACATTTCGCGTTTGTCCCGTATAACCTCAACCTAGGCGTTTGTCCTATATTACATTTCCCTTGGCATTATTTTCAACTCTGAGTTTCAAATCGGCATTCCCTTGACGTATGTTTCATATAACCTTCACTTAATTGACGCTTGTCCAAAATTATCTTACCCTTGACGTATATCCCATATAACCTTTCACTTGACGTATGTTTCATAAAACCTTTCACTTGACGTATTTCCCGTCCCGTTGAAGGTTTTTCCTTATAACCCTTCCATTGTCGTATGTCCCATATAACCCTTGCCTTGACGTTGATCTCAAATAACCTTTCAGTTGACGTATGTCCCATATAACCGTTCCATTGAAGTTTGTTCCGTATAACATTTCCATTGACGTGTGTCCCAATTTAACCCTTCCCTTAACATATGTCCAAAAACTCCCATGTGACCTTTTCTTAGATGTATATCCCTTAAAATCTTTATCTTGACGTATATCAGATATAACCTTTCCCTGGTTTTATGTCCTATATTACCTTTCACTTGACGTATGTCCCATGTAACCTTTCTCTTGACGTGGAAAATATGGCCAAAAAATACTCAGACTAGACACCAATATTACACATGACCAGTGCATTTATATACTCTTATCTATTCACGACAAATATTTGTAAAGTAAAGTATGCATTCTATCTTCCAGTTACAAGTTAATACAAATGTGCACGATCAGTGTATGTGAAAGTACGTTGCATTAGTACATGTACCTATCTGTTGGTGAGTTATTTATACGTACAAATGCTGCATCTCCAGACACCTTGTCGTTACTTATAAAGTAACAGCCATCTCCTATCCTCACGTAGGGTGCTTTACAATTATCTGTTAACAGAAAAATAACAAACTTTAATGAAATCAAAGGTGAAAAGATATATTAGACATCGTACTTTTTAGAAAATGTTTTATTGACACACATGTATTTTTATATACATGAAAATATAGTCTTATTTTATTCTTCTTTTTTTTTTGTGCAAGTTTGGCTTATTTTCTTTTTGCATTTTGCGTATAAAATGTAAAGAAAATAAAGCTCATTCCTTGAAAAATATTTAAAAAAAAACAATTTAGTAAAATGAATTGATTTTGTTGTTGTGTAGTGTATGTATATCAACAACCCCTACAAATTTGAAATTGCTTATGTAACACACACACACATACACCCATAACACTGCCATCAAACTTTCTCATATTCCATTCTGTATGTGATCTAAGTATTAAGTTTGAAACATTGGAATGTTCCCTCTCTTATTCACTCCGACCGACAGTGCGAGAACCTCATGGGAAGTGAAGGTCGTTAAACTCCCTAGTAGTTATTCACTCTCTTCGGTCACGTTATAACATGTACATGGGAATGAAATGTGCCAAGCAGTATTACAAATCATTGCCACATCATACCCTTAGTTTCAAATTACATTCAAATTTCAAGTATTTTTTATAACATTAGTATTTTAAATTTCGGAAATAAAGGATAAGTGTTGATAAGTACCTGCTAATACAGTGTTAAATGCCATAGCAGTGCAAAACAACAGAATTTTAATTTCCATTCTAGAGTCAGTATGAAGAATGACTTTCTACTGTAAAACTGAAAAACAGAATAATAGTCAACTAACTTCAAGAAACAACATTCAAATTATAAGTATAACAAATGCTACGATTTTGTTTGTTCAAAGTATTGGAATTAAAGTAGCTTTCGTTTTTAGTATCTGTAAACTCAATCTCGATGATTTTAACCTGGATATATTAAAGTAGTGATGTTACTTACCTGATCCAAGAGATGCTAGTCTTACATATTCCTCCCGATAAAGAGGCTGTTTATAAAGATTATTCAGTCATGAAATACGCACAAAATATAACCACATTCATTATGTACACTTCATATCGTAGTATTTTATGCCAACATAAACGAAATAGCATAAAGAACAGCTAAATACTCTATTTTAAATTCAACAAAATAAGACGCAGTATAGTAACATTGGAAAACATTCAATTAACAAAGGAACAAGATAGGGCGTCGCTTATCTAATATATATCCTGTAAACATGCCGCTGTTTGGTATTATTAAATTATAACATTTTACGCACGTAAAATTAATGTTATACAACAATACAATGATATTTTCTCAAATTCAATATTTTGCGTTTTAATCAATCAGACTTGATATTCCTCAAGGACATTTTGAGTGCAAAAAGGAATATTTCAGGAACAAAGGTCGATGAAGAAAAAAAATTATATGGCACCGTATTGCCTTTGTCAATAAACAATTTTAACCCATACTGTAAACTTAAGTAACAGAACATTGACAGTCAAAATATAGCAGCATCTGATTGCACCCTACTGGTCATTATTTATTAGATATATAAATATAGTGGTTTCCGGACAATAACTTGAGTATAATTTTATGAAATTGTAAAACAAGGTTCCATACCACAAAAGAAAGATTGGATAGAATTTGGGGGTGATGGCCGTATCTGCTTAGGAATTAGGGGCCAAAAAGGGGTAACAAAACAAGCAATTTGTTTAACTTTGTTTGAATTGCTTATTTCTGACAAATGTCAATAGGGTTTAAATAATCTTGAAATGTTGGTGTTCTTTAATATGCTTAATCTTACCGTACAGTTAGATTTTATTTCGGGCCGTGTTTTCAGGTGGGTCAAAAGTAGGATGCAATTTTAACTTTGATTGATCTCAATACGTTGAATCTAATAATGTATTTAGATTTTGGATTTTGGGCCCATTTTTCAAATTGGTCCAATCAGGGTTCAAAGGGTCCAAAATTAAACTTTGTTTGATTTCAACAACATTTGAATGGTAGGGGTTTTTGCTATGCTGAATTGCATATATTTAATCAATGTCATTTGTTTGGTTTTTTTTACATTAAGAGTTACCTCCCTTACAACGTTTAAAGTTCATCTTTGGAGTGATATGCAAATGAGAAGCTATCATTTTATTTTTAAATGTTACTAAGAATTTTGATAATTCAGATATATTAAGTTTAGTGATTATTGGTCATGCATTGTTTTATTTTAAGATTGTTAGCATGTATTTAAATGATTTCCTATGGTTGAAAATTCCATTCTCATTCAAATGTATCAATCCACTTCAATAATAATTTAATCATTTCCCATATATACTTAAAAACAATTTCCTCCATATTGACATTTCTCTTCAAAGGGAAATAACTCCAATATCAATTTAATGATAATCCACTCTAAAACACTTAATATCACCTTTTGATATCACTTTTCAGAACAATTCTAACCACAAATTCACAAATCTAATCAAAATAACATCCCAACCACTTAGAATTACCATCCCATAACCCACAATTACCAATTCATGTCCAATTTCATGCCACAATTTTATCCAATATTATTATACTATTTTGCAAAAAAATAAGTAAAAATCTTCAGTTCATTATAATATAATTCTACTATCCTTTTAACTTAGATATAATTTTATTCTGCATTTCATTTCCACTATATTATTCATTCTTAAAATTGCTTAAATATCAATATTAGTTTCTAAATGATAACAGTTTAACAATGCCAAGAAAAAATGAATGTCCTCCCTTTTCCCATCACCCAAAGTCACAATATGTTTAAAAACTTCAATCATTAATTGATGACAAATAAACCTCCACTACCATACACATCCATCTGTACCCAACTTGTAGCAATATTCATACACCAAACAAATTATTAATTGATTTAATAAAAGGTTTCCTACCAATTACAGCTTAAACTAAATTCCTTTATGGAGCATTTTAAAAACTTAGCTAATATTGTCCATTTGTAAATGAATAAATTAAATTATTGGTGTACTTGGATATGCTGAATCTAATCGTGTATTTAGATTTGGGACATTGAACCATAATAGGTAAAAGTCCAATTTCATATTTTTCAGTTCTTTGACCACATTCATTCTGGATCAGAAACCCATGCTGTGTCAAATATTTAATCACAATCCAAATTCAGAGCTGTATCAAGCTTGAATGTAGTGTCCATACTTGCCCCAACTGTTTAGGGTTCGACATCTGCGGTCGTATCAAGATGCGCCCCGCGGAGCATTTTATTTAAGTTTAGGATAGAATGTAGCACTGAAAATCGTCCAGAATGAATAAATTATGTTTAGTTCCAATAATATTTAAATTCAGAGTGTGATTTACTTAATTGTTACGATTGATTGATTGATGGTTGATTAACGTCAAGTGACAAATATTACATGAATGATGTTTGAAACCACGGGAAATGCAACGTGCAGAAAACGTGGCACTCTCCCTACACGAGGCATCATATTTAACGTCCTAATTCAGGTTGGACGTGGTTGTGTGTTTATACACCCATACAGCCAAAACGGACGCCCCTCTCGAGCATGGATGTGACTGTCGGGTAATATAAGTCAAGAGTTAACCATAGCTCTTATACCCCCACACTAGGACCACGATCCCGCTTCGACCTAAGAAATTCTGAAAAATTTTGGAAATCGTAGTAAGATCGTGATTGTCGTTGTAAGGACGTGCCAAGGTCTTCGTGATCGTTGAGGTCCACAACCAACTTTGAACATGCTCAAAACATTTGTAGTGCAGACGTGGCCAAAACTAGTCGTAGTAGAAGCGTAGAAAGGTCGTAGTAAGGACGTAGTAAGATCGGGATGGGCGTAGAAGCATCGTATTGGAAATCATGGTGCAATCGGGAAGCCAATGGAAAAGATTTCGCTGCGACCTTACTACGATTTCACTGCGACTATCCCGATTTCACTACGTCTTTATTACGCTTCTACTACGATATATTGCTACGATTATACTATTAGGAAGACAATAGTACGCTGCTATTAAGCACTTGCCGTCCTAAGTACGACCTTACTACGATGCTACTACGTCCTAGCCACGATAACTGCACGATCTCATTCTGTTGATATATAAAAAAACGGATGCAATAACTCCTACCTGTAGTTCAACCATGGTTACACATGAGCAAAACCTACTTCTGCAATCTTTAATACAGCTGCACTGTATCGATTTGGCTGATCAGGCTACACTTTTAGTTATAGAAGAAGGAGAAGACATACTAGACAGCTTAGGTCCTGTTTGGTGCGCCCTTGGCTTTCTGTTGAAAGAAGACTCCAGTTTGGGCATTACGACCGACTTATGAAAGGATTAAGAATGGAGGATCAACAGTCATTCTTTGATATTTTAAGGATGCCTCCAGAAATGTTTGATGAACTTTTGAACAGAGTAAGTCCTCAAATTCAAAAGATAGACACCCGATTTAGAAAGGCACTAGATCCTGGTCTGAAAGTTGCTATAACCTTTAGGCACTTAACTTCTGGTGATAGGTATCCAACCCTTCAGTACGATTTCAGAGTCGCGCGCAATACTATAAGTACTCTTATTACAGGAATATAAAGATGAAATCATATCCTGTCCAACAGAACCAAAAGATTTTCAAAGAAGATGGAACGTGCCACACGCTTGTGGCGCACTCGATGGAAAGCATGTTGCTATTAGAAGACCGCCTAAAACGGATCCTTGTTTCATAACTATAAAGGTTTATTTTCATTAGTGCTCCTTGCCTTGGTGGATGCAGACTAAAAAAATTTATGGATAGATGTAGGAGGATATGGTTCCATGTCGGACGCCCTGACTTACAATGTGGCAGAATTTAAGGAGTGTTTTGGAAGGAAAGACTATTTTATTTCCAGAAACAGATCCCTTTTTTACCTAATGACGATCTGAACATGCCATACTTCATCTTGGGTGACGTCGTATTTGGGTTCAGAACTTATTTGATGAAGCCATATTCTAGAGCGTAGTGACAACGTAGTGGAGTCGTGGTTCGATCGTAGTAGACTCGTATTGAGTTCGTAATGCGATCGGGAAGGTCTTGGTAGAAGCGTACAGAGATCGTGTAAGTCGTGGTAAGGTCTTATTAGACGTAGCAAGAGCGTGACAAGATCGTAACTAGAACGTGTTACTATCGTAGCAGGATCTTATCAGGATCATAGCAAGGTCGTGGTATGAACTTGAAAACTATGAAATATTCAATATTCAAGCCGACCATACCACGATCTCACCGCGATCTTATTTTTTTATTGATCGTGGTGGGATCTTCATGGTCTTAGTCTAGTGTGACGGGGGCTTTAGCCCCAGTCAAACCTCCGGGTCGTATTACCTTGAAAGTCCGATATCAGTTCAGTAAAATTCGTTCATTGCAAGCAGTGGTTATTTGCAGACAGTAAAGTGGTACTCATTGCATAACTTATGTGTATCGTGCTGTCCTGCGAGAAAAGAACAATCCGTGATGCAATTTGATTTACCTCCCTTTAAACACCATATGTCTTCGCCTGTGAGCTATCGTTATTAATATCATTTGAGTAATTCCTCTTTGATGATGTCGTTAACATATCAGCTCAAGTTTATTTGAAGGATATGATGATTGTTGAAAGCGAATTGTCTTGTTTTGCCTTTATCGTATGTATAAACCATTTCCAAATAAGTGTGCTTTGTATATTGCATGTTTTAAACATGTATACTGTATTGTGAATATTTCAGATGATACATATTGTATTGCAAGTTTCATAACTATCGACCTTATAAAAAAACACATGTTGGGTGATAAAAAGTTTTAATTAAAATAAAACAAATAATAAAGAGTACAAAAAAACTGAAATAAAAACTTTATAAATTTCGTGCGTCCGATACGCTTTTCAGGATTCACCTTTATGAGGAAAGCTAAACATTTGAAAGCCAGGGATGCGTAAAAACGCTAAACTATAGGAGATATACGAGCTACAAATATCTCTTCTATTACCCCAATAACCAAGACTGCATGTCCAATATCCGTAAAATTTAAAAACAATGCATTTTTCACGCACAGTGTAAGCTACTGTTATACATAAGACATTACTATATATATATATCATAAAGTGTAGCATCTGTGCTGT